AGGGCCTACGGGCCCCGCCACCGTCATGGGCGCGCTCGGCGCGGGCCGCTTACTCCTCGGTAGGGCCCGGCGCGGGGGGTCAGGCCGGCCAGGCTCCGGCGGGGGCAGGGCAAGGTGGGGTCTCGTGCGCGGCTCCTCGGGCAGCAGGGAGCTGGTGACCCCGGCGCACAAAGCCGCAAGCCAGGCCGGGCCTGGGGCCTGGTGCTTACAGCGCGCGGGCAGGGTCGGCCCGCCACGGGCAGCTGGGTCGAGTCGGGGCGCTCGAGAAGCGCTGGGGCGAGGTTACGTCGCCCCTTCCGTGCGCTGGGCAGGAGGCAGCTTAGGGGTGTCTTAAAGGGTCCGTTCGGGCGGAGCGGAGACTGGACGGGGCGGGCGGACGAAGCCGTTGGCCGGCAGGCGGGAGAGCCTGAGGTCGCAGGCGCAGAGCAGGTGTCCTGCGAGCGTGGCGCAGTTGCCCAAAAAGCGGCCATCCACTGAGATGGAGACTGAACTTTTTCCACAGGTGAGCTGACCGATGTCGCGGCTTAGCGGTGTCGGGGTGACTGTGTGCCACCCGGTCAAGCCCCTGAACGCACCTGCTTTTGTAACGCTGTCATGGCCAGGCCCTTGTGATGGAGAGGCAGTTCACCCTGTTAGTCTGAAGGCGGAGATGCACCTTGTAGACCAGCTAAATCGAACATGCATAAGTTTTTATCCATTTGACGAAGTGAGCTCAAGGGCACGAAAACTCGTGGCTGTCTGATGTAGTTACTAGTCTGTAACAGTTTTTCTCGACCTTCCTAAGACTCGAGGCACCCAATGGAAAATGCCAGTTTTCAGTCTTCATTCCTTATTTTTGCCTGCAGAAAAATAACAGCAGGTTTTTTTCTGTTGCCAAGTACTCGGATAAACCACAACTTTGGATTTCTATTTGAAATATCTGGATTTATCTTGTGAATCTGGTTTGTAAACCTAACCATTGTGTCAGGTATCCAGGTTGTAGCTGTATTGGTCTAGAGGAAAAAGCTATCTGGGCTCGTGGTAGAGGTGATATCTTTTATTAGACCAGCAATGTTTTTGCAGAAAAGAAACTTTTTTTGCAAAACTATTGTTGGTTTAATCAAAGATATCACCTCTACCATGAGCACAGATTGAGTGCCACAAAATGATTAAAGCAGTGGTATCTTTGACAGGATCTCAAGGAACCCCAGGGTGTGTTGGCACCTGGTTGAGAATCACTGGTCTGTAAGATGCATTTTTACCCTGCTTTATGGCTATTACACACAGTAGCAAGGAGGACAAAGACCCCGCCCATCTGTATCAAAGGTCCTTTTTTTTGTCCAGGGCCTCTCGTGGGGTAGGAGAGTATCGTGCTTAGATGATTAAGTTCCCTTATGCACAATATGCAGAATAGAATCGGGGCTTGCTTTTCTGGGAATCTTAAGTATTTTTTTTAAACTGTTGGCTGTAGAGCATGTGAGCAGAACTGATACCATCACAGCTGGAAATAACATTTAGGAGTTCAAGTAGGTCAAATATTAAGAGACTGCTTAATCCTAGTGACCACTGCCCTAAGTTTCCACCTCCTTGAAGAGTGTCAAAGAACAGCATTGTGACAGTAAATCCTGCTGTGAAGATTTGTAATAGTAAAAAATGAGAACTCTGCCTTCAGGTTACTTGCAAATATCAGAGGACTTGAGGCATGCATGCTCCCTAAACAACAGGAAAATCAGAACTGTAACTATCTTGGTTAAATGGCAAGATTAAAAACACATTGAATTCAAATTGGGAATTTCTCTTGGCAAATGGAAATCTTGAATGAGAACAACAAAAACGAGTTGAAACCATAGAAGATAAAATACAAGAGAACATTTGAGGAAAGGGCGAAAGACAAATGCAGCTTGACTATTTTAAGAGAGGAAGTAAGTGCTGAGAATTGCTCTTGCTTCCTGTATGGAAAAAATACCAGTCACCTAGCTGCTTTAACATGCACTTCATTTGGTTGTCAAATAGTGGTAATCCATCATTTCCAAATAGCAACATTATACTGGAGAGTCATTGCTTTTGGTAATGCAAAGCATGTTTTGAGCTGTTTGCTCGTAAACCAAATTTCGTCTTGTATCACCAGTGAGTGTTGGGGTGGGTATGTTGTTTTCCTGGCTGTCCATAACTGGAATCCAGTACACCAAGGAGATTGAGATAATCTCTCTTTATCAGAAAGCCGTGTGTTATGGATAGGGGGAGGAAGGACAGAACCCAGATAATCCTTTCTCCACTTCAGAAAACCTTCCCTTATAGGTATCTGTGAAAACAAAATGTGCAGCTTTTTTCTACCTTTATTAATAGTTTGCCTTCCAACACATCTACTACTTTTCTCTTAAAATCAGTGCACTATTTCCAGGTGGGTTTAGGATCCTGTACAGCTAAACTTTTAACAAGCAGTGGAATGCTTTGACTAAACAGTACCGTGTATGGCTCTGAAGGAGGATCTTGCCTATCTGGGTATAATGTACAGCAACATGTGCATCAGACTTTCTTGCAAGACTGTCCTTCTATTGGATGGTTATGACAGAACCTGCCAGCAAGGAAGGTTCTCTTTTGAATCTCTGTCAACTGGTATTTAGCTTTTTTACCATACAGCAAAGTGTTCTATTTAATGCAGTTACAGCTCTTCTTATGTCTCATTCATTCCTATTCTAAAGCAAGCTTACAAAGGAGTTTGGAGATCTTTGTGGTTTGCATTTTGCAAATCTTTGAGTTTTCCTGGATTGGATACCTGTAGGAAGCAATTTGATGGTTGAATGTTCTACTGAAGGCAATTTTCAATTGTAAGGAATAATGAATCATGCTGTTATGTCAGAGTTCTCCATCCATTGAGCATAAAAACTATTGTAAGACTGAGTAAATTTCACAATGAACTTAAATTTCCTGAAAATACATCTAGACTCAGATAAATTAGAATCTCCACTTAAGAAAAGGCTGAGAAATGAAAGAGTAGTTGAATAAATTCAAAGAATTCCACTTTTGATCCTAATCTGGCACAGGTATCTTAGGGGTATTAACAACATAGAAACCCTTTTACCAGTTATACTGAGCTCAGCTCCTTGAAAAAAATTTGCTTTTCCCTTGAACAGTTCTGATGTGCCTTCTGCCTTCTCAGTGTCTTAAACCCACAACTGAGGGCAGCTGTTACTGTAGGTCACAGTGAGTCACTGCAGCAGTGTGAGTTGTGTGAGAGTGCTACGTGTGTGTGAAGGGAGGGATCTGCTCTTTCATGTGAATAAATGTGCTCAAACCAATCGGAGTGGTTAAAAACAGATTTTTTTTTTTTTAAGTCTAGAAAGGGATCCCTCTGAGGCAATGGGTATAGTGGACAGGGGTTTAGGAGAGTTGTGTTCTGATCAGCTTTCTTGGGAGAGAAGGAGTGACATGCCTGTCTGCAAAATGAAGTAATGATACTGACCTCTATAAAGTGTTTTGAGATGAACTGATGAAAAGGTAGATAAATATTAGAGCTGGGTGGTATTCTGGCCTTGGCTGATCACATGTACACTGTGGGCCATAGATTGTTGTCATCACTAAAACAAATCTGCCAGAACAATGGCCAATCCTCATTTTGAAACACTCCAGCTGGAGAATTCCCCACTACCCCTCCTAGCTTGTACCAATGGTTAGTCACCTGGTGCACTACTCGGATTCAAATGAAAAGTGAAGTATGTGGCTTTGATCTGGTTCCCTCCAGCTTCTACTATGCCTTTCTCTGATAAATTGATCCCATATTTACTGGAATATAAAATAAGGTCCTCTTTTTTTTTTTTTTTTTTTTTTTTAAACCCCAATCAGCATGTGGAAAATAACACCTTATCTTATGATCACATACAAGGAAACCCCATTAACTACTCTGGCAGCAGTTTAATGAAAGGCAAAAGCAGCATGTGCTCAGTAATGGAAACCCACTAGGAAGTCCAATGCAGTCCACACTGAGCGTGACTATAAAACACCTGGCCCGTATTGGGTAAACATACTGATGGGAGCCTACCACAAAGATAGGTTAGTATAGTCCACCTGAATGAAATCTGGTAGTGTCCATTGTATATAGTCCCCTCAGTGTCAAGTCTTTTTCGAGTCATGGTGAACCACAACATTGAATACATTCTGACTCCCTCTTCACTCCCATAGCTGAGCTGCACCTTTCTTTCCTATTTCCAATTATTTACCTTTTTCGAGTCATGGTGAACCACAACATTGAATACATTCTGACTCCCTCTTCACTCCCATAGCTGAGCTGCACCTTTCTTTCCTATTTCCAATTATTTACGTTTCTTCACCAGCCTTAAATGTCTGGCAGACATTACCCAGAAACTCTCTGTTGCCCTCTCTCTTAGCCTGTTGTATATGATTAGTGTGGCCCTGCCCTCTGTGAGAGAGAACCGGACCAAGTTGCCCTGCACCTCATCTGTATATAAATTTTATCAGTTATCACAAGTGCGGGCTGAAGCAGCGTGACAGGTCTTTGCCAACAGTACCTGTGCTAAAATTTGCAGTAATTGTATCAGTTTTGCCTGAACTTAGTCTATGGTACATTGGTATCTGTAGTAACTTGCTTATATGCAAATTTTGCCTCTCACTTGTGCTCCGGAAGAGCAGGTCTGACAGTAAAGAGTGGGGGAAAGAAGTTGTCGCGGGGGGAGAAGAGGGGAATGCCAAGAGCAAGAGAGCCTCTTGACTCCCCCCCCCCCCCCCCCAAAAAAAAAAATTATTTTCCCTCCTGTGTTAGGGGATGGGGGACAAATTCATGGCAAACTTCCATTAATTAGGTTATATACCTGGCAAATGATAAGTTTATGAATTTTTCCACATATAGAATCTGATTATTGGGGGCTTGGCTTATATTCAAGTAAATGCAGTGTCTGGTATCTCTGAATTGTGAAGATGTTTCTAAATAAACTTTTTCTAAATAAGATGACTCCATCTTCTTTTTTGATAAGCCAAAAAGACTGAGTTACTTAAGTCTTTCACTGTAAAGATTTTTTTCCACCCTTTGAATAATAAGGCTCCTGCTTGTTCCCTCCCTAATTTTTCAGGGAAATAAGATGCCGCCCTTCCATCACCTAACAGCTTGCAGAGTTGCACAGGGCTTGTGGATTGTGTGTTTTATTCCATGGGTGCGACCCAGAAGCTGCATTGTAGTCAGTTTTCATCCCAATAATATTGTAGGTTCAAGAGCCCTTTAGGAGTAAGAATGGGAGAAGCTCCAGCCTTTCTTCCTCCTGTTCTCCTTTGACTTCAGTCCAGAACTGAATATAGCAACTCCTGGTTCCAGATCAGTGTAGCTTAAAGCTGTTTAGCTAGCATGTTGCAGTGTTGGGGGAGAGTGGAAAGATCTTGCTCGTGTACCCTTTAAGTCATGTTGTTGGATAAGGAACATGGTCGGCTGATTCTATAGTTGCCCTGAGACCCTGAGGAGGTCCTGCATACTTCCAGAATGTGCACTCAAAGGCCTTGTCTGCTTGCGCTACTCTGTATGCACAGGTGGTTGCAGCGGCTCTTGTAAGTAAACCCAAATGCCTTTGAGGAAGTTTATAGGCCAGCACAAATTTGAGCCCCTTTGCTAGGATATGTTGGAAAGAACAGCATCTGTTGTCCAAACTTCTGTATTCCTGGCCATATGAGTTTGGGTTTCTTTGTATGCATAGGGGAAGAAAAATGATGCATCATGCCTCAGCTTTCCTCCTAGCAGACTTGGGCTTCTTGCCATTTTCATTTTTGCTGCTAAAAAAAAAATATGGGGGAGTGACATGGCCATGAATTTAGGAACCCACTGATATTTTTAATGGGAGGATAATTTGTGTTTTGTTCTAGGAGCTGTGAGCTGTACATTCTTCCTGGCAGTTAACAGTTTATATTCCTCCAGTGATGATGTGATAGAGCTAACACCGACAAATTTCAACAAGGAAGTCCTTCAGAGTGCCAGCTTATGGCTGGTAGAGTTTTATGCACCGTGGTAAGTGTTACGGCTGTAGTGCTAAGCAAAATCCTAGTCGGCTCTTTTGCAAGAGGGGTGACTGACTTCTATAATCAACCAGCTTTCTTTTCACTCTTGCATCATGGAAGAATGCCAAAGGTGACTCGCTGGTTGATCCGAGATTTCCCTTCAGTTTCTGGCATACATCTTGCTTGATATCTTTGTGGCCTTGTGGCCAGCAACATTTCTCTAAATGTTGCCCTTTTCAGAGTTAGACTTTTGAGTCAAATATTTATTAGGCTTCTGAAAGCATAGGAACGTAATATGCCAAACATGGTTTGTGTGTGCATGCTTTCATAGGTACCTGAAAGAGAACACTGTTTCACTGTTTGGTTTTGGTGCTAATCCTTGCAAACCAACAGGGGCCACATAAAAGCCTTAACTTTGGAAGGTTTCTGGGTAGACATGAAGCAAGGAAGTGAAGTTGTGTTGACTTGGTGTTCCACCTAATAATGGGTAAAAACACAGGCCACTTGTAAAAAAGAAAATAATTTTATTCTTGCATATTTGCCTCTTCCCAAGTTCAAACTGATTAGATTTCTTAGATCTTCTGTGAAAGAGTTTATACTATCTTGGTTAACAATTGTTTTTCCCAAAAGGTGTGGTCACTGTCAGAGACTCACTCCTGAATGGAAGAAAGCGGCCACAGCATTAAAGGTAAGTCTTACATTTCCCCAGGCTTGTACTGAGGTGTGGGGATTGGTTTTCATCTGTTGTCATGGAAACAAACAGTAAATTTTAAGGTTGCATTTGCAAAAGTCCTACTTGCCTGGGTCAGGAAGTGGCCACTGACAGTAGGCCTGTGCGAGTCGGCAGCGAGCCAGTCTGGCTTCGGATCCGGCCGCTTCAGATGGCAGTGATCCGATCCAGAGCTCCGGACCGGGTTTCCGCCTTGATCTGGCCAAGGTGGCCCCGAAGCTTCGGAGCCGCCTCGGAGATCCAGCCATAGGGTATAATGGGGGAATCAATAAAATATCTATAACTTTTTTTTTTGTTTGTTTTTTGTCTGCTTTGGATGAAACTTGCAGGGATGGTAGCCTCATGCTGAGAGCATGAAACCTGCCAAGTTTCAAGAAGATCGGCGCAGGAGTTTGGGGGGAACTGTACCCCAAATTTTGAAAGCCAAACTCATGTCACGGCTGTGTGTTTACACCACAGGGGGGTGAAAACTGCAGGGGTGGTGGCCCCTGGTGAAGCCACAAAGCCTGCCAAGTTTCAAGAAGATTGGTGCAGGGGTTTGTGGGGAACTGCACCTCAAGCTGGAGACAAGCAAAACTCATGACATGGTTGACCCTGTGTGTTAAGGTGCTGCAGGGATGGTGGCCCCTACTGAGGCCACGAAGCCTGCCAGCTGTTGAGGAGATTGGTGCAGGGGTTCTGGGGCCCTGTACCCCTAGCTGCTGACAAACAAAACTCCTGACGTGGGTGCTTGTGGGACTGACTGTCTCTGTCTTGGTGCAGTTGATTGTCTGTATTGATTCTTTCCTCTCTGTAGTGTGGTTTTGTAGGTGCTAATTGATGGCAATTACCTGGCTACATTAGCTAAGTCCTGTGTATTGAGCTGGTCCCTGAGTGAATCATGATTTGCTAGGAAATCTGGTTGTCGCACCAGACGACAAGGCTAACCTATTTAACGATTTCTTTGCCTCCATTTTCCTGAGCAGGGACCAGATCAGCCTGTCTGCCGGGGACCCCCTCAGGCCCCGGGGGAGGCGCACCCAGACCTAGGTCAGTGAGGATCTAGTCGGGGAACTTCTGGAGGGACTGGATGTATTTAAATCAGCTGGTCCTGACGACCTCCACCCCAGAGCGCTGAGGGAATTAACAGAGGTCATTGCGGAACCCCTGGCACGGCTTTACGAGCACTCATGGTGCTCTGGTTTGGTGCCAGAGGACTGGAAAAGGGCCAATGTGGTTCCCATTTTCAAAAAAGGGAGAAAGGAGGACCCAGGGAACTATAGGCGAGTTAGTCTTACCTCGATCCTGGGTAAGCTTTTTGAGAGAATTATCCTGGCGCATGTCCACAAGGGGCCAACAGGGGAAGTTATGCTTGGGGGCAACCAACATGGGTTCATTAGATGCAAGTCCTGTCAGACTAACCTGGTGGCCTTCTATGACCAGGTCACAAAATCCTTGGACACAGGGGTAGCAGTGGACATAGTCTTTCTGGACTTCAGGAAGGCCTTCGACACTGTCTCTCAACCCATTCTCATTTAAAAAAAAACCCAAAAACTAGGGGACTGTGGCATCGACACCTACACAGTCAAATGGGTCACTAACTGGCTGGAGGGCCGCACCCAGAGAGGGGTGATGGATGGGTTTGATTCGACCTGGAGGGATGTGGGCAGCGGGGTACCCCAGGGCTCGGTCCTCGGACCCACGCTGTTCAACATCTTCATCAGTGGACGAGGGGGTAAAAAGCACCCTATTCAAATTCACTGATGACACTAAGATGGGGGGGGTTGTGGGCAGGCTAGGAGGGAGGAATAGGCTGCAGTTGGACCTATGGACCTAGACAGGTTACAGGGGTGGGCAGATGAGAACAGGATGGGTTTCAACACTCACAAGTGCAAGGTGCTGCACCCGGGGAGGAAGAACCAGCAGCATACCTACAGGCTGGGGAACTCCCTTCTCGTCAGTGCAGAGGCAGAAAAGGATCTTGGAGTCATTATTGATGCCAAAATGAACATGGGCCGACAGTGTGGGGACGCGGTCAGGAAGGCCAACCGCACCTTGTCATGCATCCACAGATGCATCTTGAGCAGGTCCAAGGAGGTGATCCTCCCCCTCTATGCAACACTGGTCAGGCCACAGTTGGAGT